TTTTTTTTTTTTTTTTTTTTTTTTTTTGGTATCCCCTGGGAGCTGATGCTAACCTGGTCCAGGGTAGTTTATAGGTATTTGAGTCTTGAGTCTCAGTGTCAGCCTGAAATGGCACATTATTTCCCCACTAATCAGACAGAAAGGAACCAGGACCTACAAACTGTACATACAAATTCAGCCATTTATCTAGAGTAATGTAGTCTCAACCTTTGGGGCTTCTACCTTACAATAAAGAAATCTCCTTTTTTTACATTTGTTTAATTTTTAATTTTTCAATCATAGTTGACATTTAATATTATTTTATATTAGTTTCAGGTGTATAACATAGTGATTAGACATTTATATAATTTACAAAGTGGTCCCCCCCATCAGTCTACTACCCAGCTGGCACCATACATAGTCATTACAATATTATTGACTATATTTCCTGTGCTGTAGTTTATATCTCAGGACTATTCTGTAACTGCCAATTTGTACTTCTTAATCCTGTCATCTTTTTCACCCAGGCCCCCAACTCCCCTCCCTTCTGGCTACCATCAGTTTGTTCTCTGTTTCTATGAGTTTGTTTCCATTTATTTTGTTTATTTTATTATTTAGATTCCACATATAAGTGCAATCATATGGTATTTGTCTTTCTCTGTCTGACTTATTCCACTTAGCATAACACCCTCTAGGTCCATCCATGTTGTCGCAAATAGTAAGATTTCATTCTTTTTTATAACCAAGTGACATTCCATTGTGTGTGTGTATTACATCTTCTAGACTGTGACAGGTGTTAACCTAAAAATCAAATTGTCTTCTGATGAGCATGCTTTTATTTTAGAGGATAAGCTTGGCATACTATCTTTGTAAGATGCTGTTGTGGAACAGAGACATGGAATCGCCTTCTGGTGAGTAGGCATTTAGAAAACAGAAAACCAAAGATGAGATACTCAGAGCCATAGGGTTAAACCCTTACATTTGAGCATAGTTTTATGGACTATACAGGATGGTCACTTGCATTATATGTGGTCCTCTTAACAACCTTAAGAGCTCAAAATTTAGATCATTCCCTTCGTACAGATAAGGAAACTGAGCATACTAAAGCTTGAGGTTGAGTCAGTAACTTTCCCAAGTATTCTGACCACAGATCCAGTGCTCTTTGAATTTTAACGTGTTAACTCAATGCCTTGGTGCTTAACTCAAAGCCAAACTTTTTGCTCCCAGAAATAACGCAGGCCCAGATAAAGGGGGTGGAGGGTTAGGCACTGGCATGAGCATCAGCCAGTCAAGTACACCCAGGGTGGGCTATATACAGTGTGGTTGCTGCTGTGAGGAGTGTGTAGGTCCCAGAAGCACAACAAAGTAAATTGCTTTTACATTGAAAAAGACCTGAGAGTTCATTTGCTCCAAACTCCACCTTTTTTTACCTAAATAAACTAAAGCTCAGAGAGAGAGTAAGGGACTTGCCAAGACCACACAGCAAGTTAAAGACAGCCAAGATTTGAGACCAGGTCTCCACTGAGGCTGCCTTCTCAAGCAGCCTACATTCTAAAAGACTAGACTGTGACAGGTGTTAACCTAAAAATAAAAAGCCAAAGTGAGAGGCAACAAGAACTTATTTGAGATCCAGAAGAATTGCAATTTTGGGAAGCACTGATTCAGGCAGAAGCCCAAATAGTGTTCTAATTATGGGCTGAAGGCAAGGGGGGTTTAAGAGAAAAGGAAGGGAAATAATTACATGAATAGAAACAAGGAATTTCTATTGGTGCAAATAACCTAAGTTACCCTTTAGCTGTACATTGCTGGTTACTGATTCTAAGAGACGTCTACAATTTTCAGTCCTTGTGGTAAGGAGGTCTGCTTTCCTGTTGACTCTACAAACAGTTGTTTGGGAAACAATGCTGCTCTGGCCCTGTCCAAAGGTTATTTTGCCCAGTTCAAACTTTCCAAAGACTCAAGGAACAAGACATGCGATGCAGTTCCTCTGGAATGACTGCCTTGGCTCCATTTTAAAATGGCTTCACTTATGCCAACTTTTCATACAGGTCATAAGACAGGAGCCATCCCAAGAGATCACACAACTATTTACAAATGACTCCTATTGACGTGGAAACAGGCCGACGCTCCAGGGAGCAGATGTTGCTGGGACATGGGGATATTTCTGAGCAAAGAGGCTGAATGAGTCGGAATCACGTTATCTGTGCTTTCTGGTTTTGTGGTTGGATTTATTAAACTCCACGGGAAAAGCAATAAGATTCCTCTAAGGATTAATGTAGTTGAGGCCTCGGAGGTTAACAGCCTCATTCAGTCAAGAACCGTGAACCCTGACCCTCAGAGAACCAAAGGGTTTCCACACCATTAGGTGAAGGTCGCCCCTTCCTTCACACTGGAGCCTCCGGTGTTCTCAGCATCAGCAGGAAATGTCTCTGCTGATCAGAAAATGCGGGACAGGGTGGGGGCCCAGTGCTGGACCTTAGTCACAGAGCACACACCTGTCCCACCTGCAGCCACTGTGTCCTTTGGCTATAAACCAGCCACTTATCTCACCTCCCTGGGGCCAGGTTTACTCTCTGGGAGGAGGGTTGAAATTCCTCAGAAACCTGGAGGGAACAAAGGCCATGTAGCCTGGAAGAAGGACAGCAGGTTCCATAGCCAGACAGACCTTCTTCAAATCCCACCTCTGCTACTTCCCAGCTGGTGGACTTTGGACAAGTCATGTCCACTCTCTGGGTGTCACTTTCCTTGTCTGTAAACTAAACATCACAATGGAGCCTACGGGCAAAATGAGATCATCAATGCGGAGCACCTAGGAGTATAAAGCCCACACATGTAAATGCCACAAATGGTGTTCATAACAAGTATTTCAACAGCTTAGAACTCATGTCTTAATTCTACCCATCCTTCAAATGCCTCTTCCTCTGGAAGCTTATCTTGACTCCCTGAGCCAGAAAAATAATGATAATAATGTTTACTGAATTCCTATTATGTGTCAGATGTGACATTAAGAACTTTCCTACATTATCTCATGTAATTCTCATAACTACCCTAGGAGGGAGATATTTTATCACACCCATTTAAAAATGAGGACACTGCAGTCCTGTGAAAGATTAGAATAGCTGTCTAATGAGACTAATATTTACTGAGCACTTACTATGTTCCAGTCTCTGTTCTAAGCCCTTTCCATGTATAAATTCATTAAATCCTCTCTGTGAGCCTATAAAGTAGAGTTTATTATTGGAATTAAGCATTGGAATTTAAGGAGCTTAAATCACTTGCCCAAAGATTCAAACAGAGGCTGGGCAGTAGCCACTGCACCTTACCTAAATCCAGATGTCTTACTTTGGAGCCCAACATTTTAATCTTAATGGTTCACTCCCTCCAGGAAACAGCACTTTACCTGTGCCTCCTTATTGCACTTACCACTTTCTACATCCTATACCTCTGTTTTGTACATCTCACCTCCCCTTTTATGCCATAAAGTCCATGGAGTCACTCTATTTGCATTTCTACCAATGTTGAGGTTGATGTTTAAGCAAGAAGCTACTCCATTAGGGTTCAGAGAATTTAATAATGAACACATCTATTAGATTAGCTATGCTCTGTGGAAGTTTGGCATTAGGGAGATAAGCTTTGATGGTGGTGATGAGGGTGAGTTGGAAAAGGCAACACCATGGACCCTCATTTGCCCAGATATGCAATGAGGGAACAGCTGCAACAACGGAGGTTGGAGCTCGACGACCCTGGAGAGCTACAAAAGATGCTGAAAGAAAACCTATCACCATGTCGGTGAGGCGAGCGCTGAGCTGGCGAGGCTCTAGGGAAGGTAGAAACCCAGCATGGTGGTTTTCAAATATGTCCACAAAGTCTTGGAAAATCCTCCCCTTAAAGGGAAAGCCTAATTCCCCTTCCTTTCAGTGTGGGCTAGACTTAATGACTCCTTTCTAACAATTAGAATGTGGCATAAATGTCAATCTGTGTCTTCCATGGGTTTGGTCATAAAAGATATTGCAGTTTCTGCCTTGCTCTGTCTTGCATCACCCACTCTGGGGGAAGCCAGGTGCCACGAGGGCACTCAAGCAACCTACAGAAGGGTCCACTTGGTAAGGCACTGAGGCCTCCAGCCAACAGCCAACTGGAAACCAAACCAAGTCTTCCTGCCAACAGCCATTGTGGAAGTCAAGCAGCTCCGGTCAAGCCTTCCAATGACTGCAACCCTAACAGCATTCTGACTGGAACCTCATAGAGATTCTGAGCCAGAACCACCAAGCTAAAGTATTCCCAAATTCCTCACCCACAAAGAAAATAAAAGTTTGTTGTTTTAACCTGCTAAATTTAGGGATAATTTGCAAAATAAATACTAACCACAAATATGAATGCAAGAAGAAGAGAGAAGGTAGGAGAAAGAAGGGTTTGAATGATGCCTGAATTTCCCTCCTCTCCTATCATCTTCCACACAATAGCCAACAAGCCCCCCCCCCCCCC